TCATTGCCAATATAACGCGATTGAGCTAATCTGGGCTCAAATAAAAGATTACGCCGCCACAATAGTTCCCCGCCATTCAGTACGAAAAAGATAATGACCCTATTAAAAGTAGCCTGCGGGGAAGTCACAAGAGATGACTGGGCAAAGGTTGTTGAGAAGACTAAAAACCTGATTGTGGAACATTTTGACCGAGATATCAGGATTGATTCTGTTATTGATAATAATATAATTATACATGTAGGCGAAGATGATGATGAAGACACCACCTCCTCAAGCGAATCGGAGTCTGATTAATATTCTGTACGCACATTCAATTCAATGTACTTTATTGCATAGAAATACAGATTGTAACTTTGTAACAAAGAATAAATAAAACAATTTTATTATATTCATATTACCTTTTTTGGTTTCCACTTAAATTACTAAAATATAAATTATAAATGATTCCGCCAATTTAAAACGAAAAATAATCTTAAAATTAACGCGGCGCGGCGGTTCATTTTGGAGGAACGGTAACGAACTCAGTGTTATGTTGTGCCCATCACTAGTCGTGACTAACTGATAGGTGTCAGGAACGCTTTCTCTGAACGTCGGAACTATAAAGGTGGTTAATATAGCACATAGCGCATTATTATAGCGCGCTATTTTTCCATAGCACATAGCACGTGGTATGTAAATAGCCGCCATGGAGCTATTAATACCCGGCAAATAGTTCTAACAGCAGCGCTGTTGGTATAATAGTAGACACTATTCATCAGGTACGCTATTCATCGCGCACGACCTAATTTAGTGTTAGACATTGTTTAGTTAGTTTATAATGTATATTTATAAGCGATCGAAGGACACGGTTGTCTGCTACAAAAGTAACCTAGCTAATGTTTTAAATGTAAATAAAATACAGTGTATATAATACCAAGTGTTTATAATAGTGTGTGTAAATAGTTGATTCTTTTTTATGCAATTAATACACTTTTAAATACGCCTTTAATTGATTTATAATTTACATCAAGGTTAAAATAACGTTTAAATTGACTATAGATAGTCGTTTGCCTAAATGCCTAAACATCTAAAAAGTTTGAAAGAATGTCCATTGTTTTGTTTTACTGATTTATTTTATTTTAGTCTAAAATGCGCTTGCCGGCCTCCCAAACGCTTTCTTATAAACTGCGCGCAATAACATAGCAATTTAATAGCCCGAAATATAGATAGTCTGTAGAGTGCTATTGATTTATAGCCGTTTTGAACAATTTTATCACATATATTAATGTAGTCTTTATCACTAGGGCATCGCATATTTTTAAAAATGTCGATAACTACTCCATACCACGTATCGAATAAAACGTATCGATATCGATAAAATTATGAACTCAAAAGTATCGAATCGATATTATCGATATTACTTGGTATCGAGTAATATTTATAAAATATTAGAAATCACAAGAAACTACACAATAATGGTTCAATTTATATTCATTCAAAATTATGCTACAAAATATAGGAACCAACAACTAATTAATGAACCCACAATCTTGTACATCGCAATCTGACAAAAAGTAATTTATCAAATAATTACTATTTTTAAACAGTTCATGGAAAAATGTATTTGGATTTTTTTTCTCAAAGATTCTAATCAGCTGCGTAATTTCCGATTTAATATATATTATTACGAATTAAAGCAATTAACTTTATCCGCAGTTGCTGTTTTAAACTGTACGCGAATGAAAAATCTGTATTTCGATCAACTCCATACAATCTGATCGTCTTCTGATTCGGATTATCTGATATATTATATAACTGTTAACTTCTCACAAAAACCATTATGAACTCATTAGTAATCTCTTTACCAAAACAATAAGTCGGAACTGCCGATACTTTATTTTGCTTTTCCTTACATTTTTTCTAATCATAATCCTCACATATTCGATAGAGTCTCATTCACGCTGTCGGTAAATTCTAGTATCGTAATTGTGGATCATAATTAATTAGTAATAATGATACAATCCGATTTTTCATTCATGTACCAGATAAAATCCAATGAATCCATTATTATTATTTTTCAATGTATATACATATAGAGGATTGAGGGTGTTTCTGAATTGATGATCAACCAAAACCCCTCACTCTGGCTGTCATAGTAGCAATCTGGCGAGTCTTCCAGTTCCTTGCTCGTCGATCTAAGTCACACTACGTTGGGTTCGAGACAACGCAGCGGACGCACCCTTTGATAACGCCTACTTCTGAAACACACACGCCTCTCCTTAAAAGGTAATTGATGCCTGAGATTACGTGTCCACGCTAAGTCTCGGTTTAGACATCAAATATGTGTATTGTATATTTTCTTCACTTTCCCTAACTTTAGCTCTTTTGAATCTTGATTTTGAACCGGAGATTTTTCGAACTTAACTGCAGTGGAGATTTCGAACGAACTGCGAGCTCAGTGTTGTCTGCGAGGGTTTCTTAGGCCCTGCAGGTCCCGGGCCTTGGGGTATGCCCCCATTACCCGGATTTTCTTCATGACCCACGACTATGGGCCAGTCCTGGAAGCCTTTAGTTAGGCATTTATGGATAGTGCAATTCTTATTGGTGTCATAAAAATTGGTTTCGCCGTAATCGGTTAATCATAATAAAGAGAGATTGTCTGTTTTAAAAGTCGATGTTGGCCTGTTTGCGGCATTGTGGGCTTGACTCAAATCTCTAATCTATATAGAGAGGAGTTCTCTTGGATAAGTTCGCCCGTCCGGGGGCCGAGTGTGTAACGGCGCGAAGCCATTAAGGTGTCCATGTGGCCCGTTGTCGGCGTGGTCGAACATGCCATGCGCCAGCCCGGCCACAAAGTTTTGGATGGTTTTGACTTTCCGATTGGCCTCTATGACGTCGTTCCGGACGTAGTCACCTGCTCCGTCGATTGTCCTTAATGCTTGGTTCTGCTGGGCCTGCAGTCGCTGCCTCAGAGGCTCGCTCAGAAGTACGTACGAGGCCGGATCAGTGTAGGTGGTAATCGGTCTGATGTATGTTTTGTATATCCGGATCTTCGTTTTGATCGGCAGCTTGGATGCCAGGACTGGACGGTGCATCGCCCGCGCATGCTTTGCGAATACCCATCACGTCAATCCGGCACCCCAGATAGGGCACGGCCTTTTCGTATGCAATATTCTGGCCTCTTAGTGTCAACGGTGGTGGGAATTTTCTTAGGCGGCGAGTGAGCAGAACGGTCGTCTTACCAACGTTGACGATCATCCTCCACTAATCCAGGCGATGTGGGCTCTTCTGGACGAGGTGAAATAGGCGCTATCGTCCGCATATAATGCCAGTTCCACGTCGTCCTCCCATTCACGCAGCTGTCCTATCAGTGACGGGATGTCATTAGTATAAGGCGCGTACAGGACTGGAGACAAACAGCTGCCCTGTGGAACGCCGGCTCTGATGGTTCGTGTTGAGGATTCGGCGTCCTCTACGCAGACGTAGAACTTTCTGTCTTCCGGGAAAGACGCCACTAGCCGCAACATAGCAGGAGGGACACTGGTCTGATCGTACAGTTTGTATAGTAATCCTGAGTGCCACACCCTGTCGAACACCTTCTCTATGTCGAGAAGGACGCCCAACGATATGCGGCTACGATTGTACTCTGTCGCAAGCAGGTGCAGTACTCTGGTCAGCTGTGTAACTGTAGAGTGAACCCTCCTGAATCCGTGCTACTCCGCCCGAAGTTGGATGCACGGATGGAGACGTCTCAGCCGCAATCTTTAAAGCAGTTTAACTATTGAATAAAACTATTATTTACGGATTTTATCGCGTTTAATTACTTTAATTTATTTTTATTATTATCCCAACGTTTCGGGTGCTTTACAGCACCCATGGTCACGGGGGGGGGACTGAGATGTTTGACGTCCCAATGTCATAGTTAGTCCGGCTACCTTCAGTTTTTTTAATATTAATTTTAATATTAATTTTTGGTCCGATTTAGTAAATCTAAAAAAACAATAACTTCCAACCAAACATCGTATTTTATTTGAATCTATTAGGCTTTTTCCACAGGGTATTTATTTTCGTAAGAACACACCCAATTGATAATAATCTTATCCGTTTGTTTAATTTTACTTACTTTATTTTTCATGTTAGAAGTATTACCGCGAGACTTCATAACTATAGCTAATTTTACATTGCGCTGAATTTTGATAAACTTTCCTAAAATATTTCCACACATCACTTTGTCATCCGCCAGGAGGTGGCATTCTGAGGAAGCAAACCAAGCAGAGCACCGGAACCAGAAGTTGAAAACAATAAAATTCACTTTTATATGCTTAACACCGATCAGTCAATATTGCCAATAATATAATAGTCTTCTACTCTCATTATTTATGACTGATAGGTAGACTTTACTTAAACAACATAAATATACAAATGAAACTCATTTAAACCCAAATATTTAGCATTTTGATTTCATTACATATAATATTTATTCATCAAAATTACGAGATATTTCTAGTAAATGTTTAAAATGTATTTACCTGGTCAGACATGCATTATTCCAACTATAATAGGGTTTCCCCCCGAAATCCTTACTCCATCGAGAGGGACGATGCTATTCATCGGAAAAGTAAGTACTGTCAACTGACTTTTATCTGACAATTTAGTTAAGGACAAAAGTATCGAGTAACTAAGAAAGTATCGATACTTAGTAAAATATTCTAATAAAAGTATCGAGTACAAAAATACTAGGTATCGAACTAAAAGTATCGATACTTTTTGCGGATCCCTATTTATCACACCACACACTATAATCATAATGGTTACGACCAGTTACTATACTCTTTGATAAATCCTGAAATTGTATGACATGTTTATTTGTTGACGTTATTAACCATTAAATTAAATGTAATTCTGTTTATATTATTTCATCTTGTTTTCATACACTTAATTGTATTCCTATGTCGCGTGAAAATGAGGCAAAAGCCAATTTGCCCCACTCACTGGAAACCTTTGTGGCGGGAGAACAAGCGATGGCGCTGGAAATCAAGGAAGAAATTTTATCGAATGAAAAGATTTTTAGAGGTTTCAGAAAGCAACCAGTTGTTGTGCTTGACCGATTAAATATTAAACCTTTCCTAAATGATAGTCGAGTGAGTTATAAACACAACGTAGTCTCTTCAGAGGCTGATAGTGGATCCATCAAGCCAGACTTGAATAAGTTGTCACTATTATGTTCAGTGGTTTTAGTGCGTGATGATTTGGAAAAGTTGAAGTATGGGATAAGTAAAATTGCTAGTAATAACCCCTATAATTCAAGTGCAAGTAAGTGTGGGATTGTATATTACAATTGCAATTCTTGCAGTAAAACATACAAAAGTGTTAAACGATTGCAAAATCATCTGGCAAAGAAACATAATACGGTTGAAAAACCCCAGCCACAGAAGCGGGTAAGTTTCTCTGATCATATAATTGTGCATGAAGTTCAGGAGTACCACAGATGCAAGAAATGCACAAAAATATTCACAGGCTATAAACTTTTAAAGAAGCATATAAAGCAGAAGCATAAGAAACGTAAATTTTACATTTGTAACTACTGCTCCAACAAGTTTATTGACAGAATATATTTCAAAACTCACATTAAATTGCATTGTGATTCCTGTGGTTTGTTACTACCTACTAAGGCTGAATATTTAGAACATAAACGTAACATATGTCGTAATGTTAAAATGTACAATTGTAAGACGTGCAAGGAGAATTACTTTCAATTTATGGATTTAAAGGACCATAGCTACGAACACATCAGTAGCTGTTTCGTTTGTGATATATGTAAAGATCAGTTTGAAACTAAATGTGCTGTAGCACACCACATCTCATTTTTACATTCGGACAAGCGTCCAGAAGTATTATATACCCTTCGTAACCTGGGAAGTGATAGACTTTACCTGTGTAACTTCTGTGAGGAGAGTTCTGTTGAGAAGGATTTGATAGAATCACATGTCTCTGTTCTGCCTGATTTAAGCAACCGTGCAATGACAGGTTACAAAGATTTTTACTTTTGTGATCAGTGCTTGAAGAAGTTTGATAAGGAAACTGATATGCTGCAGCACAAGTGGTCACATTTCCTAAAAACAAGTGACAATTCTCAATTAAGGGAAAATATTACCATTAAAGACAATTTAGTCACAGAAAAAGAAAGCGATATTAATGAGAATGTGCCTAACACAACTTTACCAATAGCTGTAGATGAGATAATTGATACAAATAATGAAAAATCACTAGAACAAGTGTCAAGTTCTAAGCAGAATTTGTCTGAAAGCATGCAAATCCATGTTGTGGACCAGAATATTGTCATTGACAGTCGATTAAAAACCTTTCTTGCTAACTCTATACCCTCGCCAAGCCCACAGCCTTATAATAACGAAGCTGTTGGTTTGCACGTTCAACCGATAGATTACATGAACCCACCCAAAAAGGCTATAGTGGATCCAAGATCTAAAAAGACTATACTATCAAGGTTTAATTGTGAGGTTTGTATTTTAATATACTCTAATACTAAATAAATGAAATATTTTCATTAACATTTCTATGCAGTGGTGGTGTAAGAATATCCATTACCCATATAATCTGTGAGTGTCGTAAGAGGTGACAGAGGGTAACAAATCAGGAGATGGGCAGCAGCATCTTGTTAATCACAACTAAAAATAAAAAACTGCGGCCAACCCGCTTACCAAACCGTGACAAATATCGCCCCTATGAGGCAATTTAGGGAGGGGGGGGCATGTTCAACAGTGGACTTTAATAGGCTGTAACGGTAATGGTTATTATCAATACATATAAAATTAAAAAGTCTGTAATATCAAAAAAAATCTGGCTTCTGTTAACTGTAGGTTGGTTGTGCTTATTTATGTAATATTGTCCTTCGCGTGGGGTCTGTGAAAGCCTTTTTTTGATTTCTTACATTTTATAAATCTGCTATTATAAATAATGTTTTATTTATAATAGCAGATAGAATACAAAATACGTGGTTAATTTTGTAATAATTTTAATTTAGCATTAGTCATTATCATGAAAAAAAAAACGAGTATTTTGGTTAATGTTTGGTAACTTCTACATAAAAATATAACAAAAAAAATGCTTAATTTTTTTTACTCGGCATTCTCTTCCAAACAACTGATGCAAATCGACACCAAATGTCTTGGGCATATGTTTTGCCGACATGTACAGTATGTAGTTAAATGTTTTTGGCCAGTAAACGCATTGTTTTCTTGAAATATTTATTAACTTATACATTATGACTTTGTGTCTTTTCCTGCTCTGTTATATCATTGTCAAACCTCAAACAGCGCAAAAGAAATCTAAATCTCATAATAAACATTACTGCCCTTACAATATCCATACTGGTTCCATCAGCTGAGAATACATCTTCAATTTTTATATTATGGCATGATTTTTGTGTGCCAATTAAGTACAGTAATACTAACAGTGCTCTAACTTCAGGTTAATTTTAACACGAGCAACCCTTGAATCCGGGATGCTCGCCATCCCACCAGCACTAATGAAATTGTTAATTGTAATATTAAGTGCTGATTTTTCATGTGTTCGGTGGTGAACGAAAACATCGTGAGGAAACCTGCGTGTCTGAGAAATAAGAAAAAAATATTTCAAAGAGAGGCAGCGCGGCGGACATTTCCTTACTCTAAAACACTTAGAAAAGAGGAGGCTTGTGTCCAGCTTCGGGACGTAGATAGGACTTAAATGTTCAAATGAAACATCCCTGTCGTGAGAAGACTGCATATTTAGTTCTTGAACTTCTTCAAAATTAGATATGTAGTCTTGCTTAGAATATACTTCAAACTATCTTGGAGCTCATAATCTTCATAATCAGAGCCTTAGCAGTCCAACGATTCTTCCAAATCATTGTTTTCTTCTTTCTATAACCATCTAACTATTTGCTGATCTCTCGAGAGTCCTTTTCTATAATTTATATTACTTATTTACTTTTTTTTATAGAATAGCGGTGATGAACAAGCACGCAGTCCACCTGATGATAAGTGGATGCTGTGGCCCATAGACATCTAAATTTATCCTCGATTAAGAATTGGAACGCAGGTGCATTGTCACCCCTGAGAACTAAGGTGGAATGCCTCATTTCCAGTAAAAAAGGGTCTCCAGATCTCTACACTCACCATACAAAACACAGCAGTATTAAACTGCTCTTTTACGCTGGTATTCTGTAAGAATGTGGTCCTTTTTCGGTCGAGCCGACCCATTCATGCTACAACCATAATATAGCTGCAGCGTGGCTTTTTTAATTTGGCTGGTCTTTGCAAAATAACCCTGTATATATAAATGTAATCATAAATCATAAACACTCACGCCTGTCACCCAGAGGGGTAGGCAGAGACTACAGACTTCCATTTGGCACGATCCTGACACACCTCTCTCGCCTCCTTCACATCCATACACCTACGCATGCATGCTCGTCGGTTAAGGGTACTCCTAATTTGGCCCGTTTTCAATAAATCGCCAATTTGGTCGATAAATTTTCGCCTAGGACGTCCCTTTCCGACTCTGCCATTCACTTCTGCAACATAAATTTTCTTTGTCACTCTTTCCTCATCCATTCTTTCCACATGACCAAACCACCGAAGCATTCCTTTCTTAATCCTGGTCACAACATCATCTTGCAAACCACACTCTTCTCTTATCACACAATTTTTCACCCTGTCATTCAGATTCAGCCCTAACATACTCCTTAACGACCTCATTTCTACTGCATTTATTCTACTCTCGTGCTTCTTCTGCCATACCCAACTTTCACTACCATACGTTAAAGTAGGGACCAACACAGCATTGTGAATTGCCATACGTGCCTTTTTTGACACATTTTGACTCTTCACAATAGAGTGCAGGGCTCCATTTACTCTGTTTCCTGCGTTCACTCGTCGTTCTATATCCTTATCATATCTCCCATCCCTGCTAAATACGCAACCCAAATATACAAACTCATCTACTTGCTCGATCAACTCCCCTTCTATTCTTATTTCACATATCGTTTTACTTTCATCTCTTTCAAAAACCATAATTTTTGTCTTACTTGCGTTCACTTTCATACCCCTTTCTTTTAATGATCTGTTCATTAATGTAACCATCATTTGCAACTCAGCCGCCGACGACGCAAGAATAACTTGATCATCGGCGTACAAAAGGCATTTGATGGTTAACTCACCCATTCTTAATCCGCATTCTTCAACTTTCAAATTTTGCAAACAACTGTCCATAAATAGGTTGAACAACCACGGGGAAGCCACACAGCCCTGTCTGACACCTTTATGGATGCCAAACCAGTCCGAGTAGACCCCGTTGATCCTAACACAAGCACTAGAGTCCCTATAAAGAGATTCCAATGCCTGTATCAAGCCAGCGCTCAACCCAAATGAGTTCAGTGTTTGCCATAGCACATTCCTATCCACTCTGTCATAGGCCTTCTCCAAGTCCATGAACGCACAAAAAACCTTTTGGTTTTTGGCCAAAAACTTCTCCGCGATCATGCGCATGGAGAAGACTTGATCTGTACATCCCATTCCCTTTCTAAATCCCGCTTGCACATCCCAAATTTTTCCATCGGTTTCTTTCATGACCCTTTCAATTAGTACCTTGGCATACAGTTTTCCCACGATGCTAAGAAGGCTGATACCGCGGTAGTTTTTACAGTCCTGCTGCGACCCTTTTCCCTTATATACTGGGACTATCACGGCTTTGCACCAGTCTCCCGGTACCCGCTTCAGTTCCCAGCATAAATTAAACAAGGTGTGCAGCAGGCCTGCCACCACTTCCTCTCCAGCCCTTAGCATTTCGAGTGAAACTCTATCATATCCGGCAGCCTTACCTGCTTTCATGCTTCTCATTGCTTTCATTATTTCATCTATACTTATCTCGCTACCTTCTTCCTCTTCTTTCGGAGTTCCTATTTCATTCAGTTCATACGTTGTCTCCTCACTCATAAACATGCTTTCAAAATATTCCTTCCATCTCTTTAAACTCAAAACTTCATCATTCAGAATATAGCCATTCTCATCTCTTATAGCATTCATTATAGGCTGTTTTGAACATCCCCTGGCAGTTCTTACGAGTTTCCAGAACATTTTAATATTTGCCTGGAAGTTATCCGATATTCTTCTATCATTCTTATCCGTTCTTTCTTGCTTTTTCCTTTCAACTACTTCTTTTACTCTTTTATTTAGATGTCTAAAGACTGCCTTTTTTCTTTCAAAATCATCATTCGTACCGCTTGAATTACCAGCCTTAGTTGCTAGTAAATCTAGCCATGCTCTCTTCTTTGCTTCAACTTCCGTACGTATCTCATCATCCCACCATAACGTATTATTTTTCCTTTCATTCTTTCTTTTACTAACACCACATACTTCGGTAGCTGCATCTACTAAACCTTTCTGAACATTTTGCCATACATTCTCCAAGTCCAACTCATTCATACATAATTCATCCAAACCACTTACGTTTTCTTTCAGTCTACATTTAAACTTGTTTTTCTCACCTTCATCTTGTAATCTTTCTGTTCTAATACGCTGTAACGCAGTGGTAGACACGGATGACCGATGGCGCCACCGCCTGAATAGACCATTAATTCGGCATAAAACCAAAAAATGATCCGTTCCTACGTTTGACCCCCGGTAAACCCTTGTATCCACCACTGCGCCCCTCAATCTTTCATCCACAATTATGAAATCTATCATGCTTCTATCATCACCTCTTTCCCAAGTGTACATGTGAATCCTCTTGTGGCGAAAGAAAGTGTTCGTCACAAAAAGATTCTTTTCCATACATACAGTGAGGAGGCTTTCACCATTCTCATTTATACTTTCATCACCAAACGTTCCCAATATCCTTTCATAACCAAGCCTCCTCACCCCAACTCTTCCATTAAAATCTCCTAGCATAACAACATTTTCATTTCCCTTACATTTCATTAATACCATCCTTACCATTTCCCAAAACTGCTCTCGGATATGAGTGGGCTTAGACATGTCTGGGGCGTAGACCCCTAGTACAAACAACTTCTTTAAGCCCACTTTCAATCGTATCCATAGCAGTCTTGGGCTTACACATTCATACTCTTTCACACATTGCACCATTCTTTCTGATAGGATGATCCCTACTCCCTGGCATGCCCGCTCGAGCTCGTCTACACCAGACCAGTATGCGGTATACATGCCATGTGTAGTGACATCCTTCCCCTTCCGTTTCGTCTCATTTACACATAACAAATCTATTCCTCTATCATACATCACCTCGCATACTTCACCCATTTTATCATTCATTGCTCCACATACATTCAACGTAGCCAGACGGGCCTCTGCAATCCACTTTTCGCCCCTCCGGGAGACAGAACGTGACGGGTGGCGAGCCTCGTCGCCGGTTTTCCTCCCGGAGATTCTTCGCACCCCTGCCCCATTAAAGGGGCGCCGGGAACTCGGGGCCATTTCTTTACTTTGATTCCTCATGGTGCGAATGGGGTGGTATATTTAACGCCGCTACCACGGCGAGGAGCCGAGTCTGTGCTATCGGCTTGTCGCTCATTTAGCAACAAATGTAATCAGTTTATAGGTATATACTATCACTAATACGAAAGATCTTATGACTTGATTTATTTATTTGTTAATTACACACATTACATATATTAATTAGTTATTACATTAACATACAATCATAAATTTATACAAACTCTACCATGTGCCTCATCCTCCTCACCCTCACTCTCATATTTATTGACAATAACAAATATGAGGACATTTAATATTTGTTAAGTGCGTGACCTCCTATTGCGGGACGCACTGCTCATGGATCATATATACAGGATGTTGATGACAGTATAATCTTTTTGGGTTGTGGTTAGACATGGTTCTTTCTAAATGAAATTAATCGTGAATAATCACAGCCCTAGATGTGAGCATCTTTAAAGCCACTCTCCATCGCCGGGCATTAAAAAACTGAAAAGACGAGTAGACTTTTAAGCGTTTATAAAGAAGAAAAGCGCTTGATAACGGACTAACTGATTAATCGTTAATTTTTCATTATTTCAGATCTGTGGAAAATACTACTCTTCAAACTACACTTTGGCAAGACACAAAGCGACACAGCATTTCCCGAACAACAATCTAAGGTGCGACATTTGCGAAGAAACATTTGTGTGGCCCTCTTTATTGCAGTCACACAATTGTATTCGTATGAACATACCGGAAATGCCATTTGATGATGCTAGACCGGAAATACAGTTTGATAACCTCCAAGGTGCAAGTAATGGACTAGAGGAATTAAACATAGAAGATGATGATTATGCAGTAGGTGTCGATTTTGACATCCCGGCCCCAATTGTTGAGTTAACCGAATACGACCATCAGATTATAACAGACCCTATACCTGAAAAGATCAACCATATCAACGATTTAAAGTCATGTGTACAGAGTTTAGGTTATAAATTAGTTATACAAGAAGTACCAATAGAGTTCTAGGTTTTAAATCTAGTGCTTTAAGTGTAAGTTGTAAGTCAAATGGTGCGTTAACAATTTCTTGAGTTATTGGGTTATATTTTGTGATATTTTAATATATGCGTCTGCTAAAACACTTTGATGCTAAATGATACAAACTATGTAAACTAACTTGGTGGACCTGTATTTATCAGACTGTACATTTTAATGATGTTTTAATTCTGATGGTACAATTTTATTGCGTTTTATAATTTTAGTGCAAATGTGTTACTTGGTACTGTTGAGGTGAGTTTCCATTCCATAAGTACTTTTTATCTCTAAAAATTCTTACACAGTTTTTTTCTTTTGTGGGTTGTTTCTACAGATTTACGTTCATAAGTAGTGTACAATATGTAAAAAAATCCTATCCCAACCCGAAAGGGGAACATTGTTACAGCAATATTATTACAAAAAAATAAATAAAAATACGATCATATTATTATGTTCTGGAAACAAATAAAATCTGGTAACACCTTTTTGAACATTTATCGGCGGACTCTGCGAAACGTTGTACTCTAATCAAAAGCAACTACACAGACCGGCACAAAAAACTACTCACTTTGAATTTTAAGTAATTAATGGTCTTAGAAATTTTTTTGGTATCGTTTCTTATTGATAAGTATTATTTAAGTTATTCTTTGGCAGAGAATATGCTAAAAACAAAACTCATAAATAAAATCGGGACTCATCTGTGAACACTACTTCCATATCCCAATTCACATGTTTTAATAAAGCCATTCTGACGTTTTGGGCATACTGTAAGCCGGCATGTACTGTCACACTGTTTTTAAAATATTAGTAAATAAATGTTAAAGTGCGAATGCAAGTCAGCTGACTCGATTCTGCCTGGTAAGCTCTGGGCCATGTGCAGGTCTTCTGACCATGATATGAGTTTCATTGAAACATCTCCTTACAGTTGTGTCACTTACATGCACATCTCGAACTTCAGCAAGGCTATTCCTGACTTCAACAGCAGTCATGGCCATGTAACGTAGTATTGCTAGGCCAAGAAGTAGGGTTTTGACGAATGTTCCTGGTAGAAAATGAACGCAGATATAATTTCGAAATTATTTACTTAAAGAAATCATGGTGAGTCGTGTCTTGTGCCTGTCAGTATACTTTAAGATATTGATGTGTCTATATGGGAGTGATGAACGAACAATAAAGTGATAAATGAAGCAGAGTCAACAGAAATTAAAGTCGTAACTTTTAGATATTGTTACTCAACGGTCGCACGTATCGTATATTTTGCCATCTCAGTATCTATCCACACGTACTACAACCACAACACGTGGGCGGGCGATTTTGTATTAGAAATGAATAGTACAATTTACGTGTACCACATTTTGCCGTCATTGACGACTGCTTTAGTGTTACCGACCACTACGCAACCACTACAGAATCGCACGGAACTAGCGGCCGGCCACACCTCAAACGCAACATTGCGTCGACGCAACGACTAGGGTTACTACGCTACCACAATGCAACTGCAAAAAGCTGCAGCGACCCTATTCACACGTGACTACATTTTGTTGCTGCGATGTGGTATAGTTGTGGTACGTGTGGGCCGACCCTAAGCTCTCCGTTTCATAGGATTTTACCACGTTTATGTTTGTTTGCCTGTCTGTCGTTATGAGTGGAATCTTGCAACTCAAATTTTAAGCTATAGCTCAGAATCAGGTGCCAACGTAGAACTATGAGAAAAAACGTGGTATATTCAATTGTTTTAGTGGAAAATTAAAAACAAAATCGTTTGTTCCATTATCCTCTAAATAAGGTTTACATGAAAAAAGTCATAAAATCAAGCTCACATACAGAACAGGTTTTTTTTACATGTTGTATAATTCTCTTAAAGGATTTGAATGATAAAAAAAGAGATATGATTAGATTTGTAATCATGTACATATATGTGCTTATTCCAACACTTATAACATCTTGGCTGATTTTAAATTACAATTTTGAAATAAAGTAACAGTGAGTTTACAACAACCCACTTCTAGATTAAGAAGCTGCTGAGAAAGAGAGTGTAATGTATATTGTTGGGCTTTGCATGCAGGTTTCGAAAAGTAGTACCGGCGGGAATCAAATTCGAGTTTTCCATGTATTACAAAATTCAAAACTTCCAACCAAAAATGCGTAGACAGAGAAACCTATAGACAAATTGACGCCTTCTTTCGCATTCGCACACGAAAAAGATAGATTTATGCACACGTCTTGCATAGAAATGAGATAGAGCGGTGTGATTGTTTGTCCCTTTCACCGTGCCGGTTTTTTTGTTTAGCAAACTCTACAGTTTGCTAAACAACTTTGAAAGCGTAGCGATTTAAGGAGTTCACAAGTTGGTTTAAGTGAGAAAAAAGTGTTTTGTGAGCCTAAGATGGGTGAATCTTATTCAGTTCAGTTCTTAGAACAATTAAATTTTTTATCTAAATGTGTTTTAAAGTCATAAAGATTATTGTATAACCTAAAAATTCGTTATCGTCCTTTCTCACTCGAGGCCACGCTGATCATTAGTCTATAGGTTTCTCTGTCTATGCAAAAATGAGATACCCCGATGGCTGTTGGAGCCATTGATGTGGTATTTCGTTCCATTACAGCCTATTAAAGTCGACTGCTACATTGGCCTCTCCCATAGATTATCTCACAGGGGGGATATTTGTCATAGTTGCCACGCTTGGCAAGCGGGTTGGCAACCGCAATACTATATTTAGTTTTAGTCATTATTAGCAAAATGCTGCTGCCCATCTGCTTTGTTCCCCTCTGTCGCGTCTTACGACACCCCCGGGATGATCTGAAGTAGTGGATATTCTTACTCCGCCACTACACGGCTGACATCGCATTAGACATTGATTAAAAATTATCGAATCAAAAAAATAGTTATGTTTGACTCTGTTTTTCATTTACAATTTATATGTGTACATTTTTATTTTTTAATCCATAGAAACGTCTGTTCTAGAAAATAATGTGCCATATGTATGCACTCAATCATTTCCAATCGTGAAGCTTATTAGTCAAAGTAATAATATCCTCCAAAATGAATTTCTGTCACGGCGGCCAGTCTCAACGGAGGCTAGCCATCTGCGCAGTACAGAATTGACGGCTCCGTGGCGCAGTGGTTCGTATCCCGCACGGAACAAGTATTTGTATTAAATACAGATAATTGTTCCGGGTCTCGATGCTTGTTCTTGTGAAAATTATGTATGTAAACTGCCCCTATGGTACCGTTTTTAATAAAAGTAAAAAAAGTATTATAGTGCACAAGTGTGTACGCAAGCACAGGAGGGACACGGTCGGTAATCCGACACGACTGTTAGGAGATCTGTCTCCAGTAATTCTGTCCTGCGCAGATGGCTGGTCTCTGTCAAGGCTGGCCGCCGTGAACGAATAACGGTCTGTAGGACATCAATCGTGACCTGTGCGTTATGAAACACTGTCCTTAAATTATCAAAAGACTAAAACAACATGCAGTAGTCATGAACTGTGATGATCCTTTTGAGAATACTAGGTCAATACTAGGTCAATACTAGGTCATTATCATGACGTTATATCGTCATCGTTCCTTAAAACGCCTCTGAAATTTCAGATTATTCAGACGTCAGTAATTGGGTTGAAATTGGATTATAATATTCCATTATATTCATACTTACATACCGGTAAACTTACAAATTTAAACATGTTAAAAATACGTCAAAACAAAGCCAATTAAGATTCCCATCCGAACTACACAATCGCACCACTAATAGTATTTTTGTAGAATTACAAAATTTATGTTTTTTTCATAATAATAGTAATTTCTAGAAATTTCCCTCGTTCAAATTAGAAATGCGCGTCATTTAGGCTTCCGAGTTTGCTCTGAAGTTGACACTCGACATAATGTTTGACCGATATACTAGTTTAAGCAGAGTGAGTGCTTCTGTTACAAGTCGCGGCACGTTAGTCTAGCGCTGAACGAGACGTGAAGGGGATAGCTGCGCGTGTCATATCAGTACGCCAATAGCTGTAGTCGTACGCAAATAGCAGTAGCCAATTAGCGCGCTTGAACGACACGCACGCCTGCCCCGTAACTTATGTTCGATTTATGAGCAGTAACGGTCAACGCTAGACTTTCGTTCCGGTAATATACATTGGGCATACGTAATATAATATCGTTCATCCTTATTTTATTCACTACTGAACATAGGTTTGCAAAATAGATTGCCACATTTGTTAGGCGGGTTAGCAACTAAGTTGTTACTATTATCTTGAGTTATATAACTATTATTTTGAGTTCTAAGAAAGATGCTCCATGTCCTCTTTTATGCCTTTTGACACCCAAGGGATAATATGGGGTATACTTATTTTATTTTATCGTTACAATGCACGATCTTATAAATCGAATCGAATGGGGTTGTTATGTTTGAGAGGCATCAGGATTAGCATTAAAAAAAAAAGAAACAAAAAAGTTAAAAATTTTAGCTCTTATTATTTAGAACCTATGGCACAGTCTAAGTACTACTAACAGTCCGTCATCGAAGGCACCTGGACGCGCCGGAGCACTCCCGAGTGACTTACGGCTACGGCTGTCTGTTAGGGTTGTCCTGTCACGCAAAAAAATTAAGATGGTTCACACTACATGTGTAGTATAAAACTATGGGTCGCCCTCATTTCAAGTAATTAAAGTTTCATCAGTTGCACATACATAGGAATTTGATTAAACCTGAAATAAAATAAAATCAGTTTTGATATTTTCATAACTACCCGTTTTGACAACCCTAGCAATTTATCGTTTATGTCCACTTTTTCAACGATATCAAACGCGATAATTGACTGTATGTTCTTAGGCTGAAGCTATGCTTTGCAATAGTCTCATACATGGAGAGTAGAGACATATATGTAAAGACATTGTGAATTCTATGTTTAAGGCTAAGGAAAACTTCCCAAATTGTAATTTATTACATTTTTAATTATTTAATGCGATACAAAATAAAGCTTCAAAACATTTTAAA